GCCACACTGTGGACGGGGGGAAACCGAGGCAATATTGGAACATAGAGGTTCGGGGAGTGTTTCAGGCCGGGCTGGAGAGCTGGCCGCTGACGTTCAGAGAAAGCCAGGAATGACTGTTAGGAGCGAGGCACAGTCGCAGGCAAAGGATGGGCGCGATGCCGCCTTTATTAGCCAGCTGTGTGGTGGAGAGAACCATTCGCTGGGAAACGAGAGGGGAGACGAGCGGTGGCCCTGCTGGGACCATCCAGCTGCCCAGCCCGCCTCATGCAGCCCTCGGACTGCTGTCGGTCAGGACCGCAGATGCGGCTGTCGGGCTCCATTAAGGCCCCCAATCCAGGAGATCCTGAGCCAGCTTCTCCCCTCCACTTGCCGACAGGAGCTGAGCTCCTCACAGTCTCCACATGGCACCTCTCGCTTTCCTTGCCCTCACTCCAGTTTCGGGGGGCTTGGGTGGTCAGAGGGGAGAATGGTGGCTGCCTGGTAGTCCTGTCTGTAGCCTAAACCCCAGCCGTGGTGCGTGGGACACAGAAAGAGAACAGAAAGTGGCTTCCCAGAGCGGCTCTCCTCCCTCCCTCATTCTTGGGGGCGACGGGGGCCAGGCCTGGTGGTTGGGAGGTCTTGTGGCTGACTGTGCACGTCCTGTGGCAGGAAGATCATACCCTTTTTGTTTCCTTTTATTTTTTTCTTTTACGTTTTCAGCAGGGGTGGGTGAAGCCCCAAGAGCGTGGATTCCAGTGTGGTGAACTGATTCCATTCCTGCAGAGCAGAGAGCGCAGGCACCCCCTGAGGAAGGCAGCTGGCCGCCGGCCACGGCTCTGAGGGCTGGCTGCACATGGCCTCGGTGAGCCCGGTAAGTGGACCACAGGTGAGTCTCCTCAAGGCAGGAGGCAGGTGCGGGGGCTCAGAGAGGACGGCTCAGGCTGTAGCTGCTCTTCACGAGCCCTCTCTTTGCATGTGTTGTCCCGGCCACTCCTGTCTGGGCGGAAAGCTAGGCCAGGCCAGGGGGATCGGAGGCCAGCATCAGCCTCATGGGAAAACTGCTGAGAGGCCCAGGCTGGCTCCCTTGAGGCAGATGCAGGGGTGACCTTTAGAACCTTCTTGGATGAGAGGTGTTAGGCCCGAGAGAGTGCCCCTCTCTCTCAGGCTCCGAATTGGGGTCTGATCTGCCCAGACTGGCTCTGGTGGCTTGATCGTCACATTCATGGCCTAAATCCCAGCCCGTGGAGAACACCGAGATAGGACAGAGGAAATAGTCACAACTAGACTAAGGTGACCAGATCGTCCAGGTGTTGGCGGGACAGTCTTGATTTCTAACAATTCCCCCCCCCCCCCCCCCCCCGCGTCCTGCAGCGTTTTAAAAAAGTCCCGTTTTTTTGGAAAGAATCTTTCCAATGTTTCCAATCTTTCCAAAAATCGGGACTTTTTAAAAACGCCGCGGGATATGGGAAAAATTGTTAGAAATCAGGACTGTCCACCAACACCTGGACGATCTGGTCACCTTAACCTGGACGCACAGTGTGGCAGCACCTGCCCATCCCCGGGTGTGCAGGTGTCTTCTCTGCGAAGGGGGACCAGGGGCTGCCAGCAGGACCCAAGGTCCAGGGCACTTGTTTTGTGCCAAAGACCAAAAAAGGAGCCGCAGCATCCTGGGCACTGATGCTGCCGGGGCTCCCTGGGGAGTGTTCGCTGCGAGAGGCACGCCTGAGCCGCCATCACGTGCCCCCGAGGGTGGAGGGACTCACAAATGTGACGCACAGGCTTCCGAGAGGAGGTGGCACTCAGCAGGGCCCAGGGGTGTGTGCGGTGCCAGGCAGTGAAGGGAGGGCACTGGCACCCTTGCTGAGGGAGTGACTGCGGGTGAGCCCCAAGGCCCTCGGGCAGAGGGCCAGGCCCAGCGAGGCTGCTGTGCTGTGTCCTGGGGGAGAGGCCAGGAGAGTCAGGAAGCGGGGACAGTGGCCAAGGGCTGGGGTCTCCTCGGGAGCCAGTCCATGCTTGTGGCCTGTGAGTCCTGAACAAACAGGGAAAGGGACACACTTCTTCTTTTTTTAAATTTTTTAATTTTTAATATTTTATTGATTTTTTATAGAGAGTTAGAAACATCAATGAGAGAGAAACATCCATCAGCTGCCTCCTGCACACCCCCTACTGGGGATGTGCCTGCAACCAAGGTATATGCCCTTGACGGGAATCAAACCTGGGACCCTTGAGTCTGCAGGCCGACACTCGAGCCAAACCAGCTAGGGCGGGACACACTACTTCTAACAGGGTCTCCTAGCCGCTCTGTGACTGGAGAAGTTGATTCTAGAAGGTGAGTTGAGCTGCGGCCGGGACCCTCCTGAGCTCAATTTGCCCTACGAGAGGATGCTCCTCGCCCTGCTGGGTCACTGGCTCCTGCAAGAATCGCCCTCCCCATTGTCCCCAACTCAACCTGGTGCCCTGGGAGCTCAGTGTGGCCTGAGGCCGGAGTGCTCAGGGAAGGAGGGGAGGAAGAGGAGCCTGCCCTCTGGAGTAGAGGCACTGGAAGAGCTCACTCCTCAGGCAGCGATGTCAGTGGGGGTTCGGTTCCCAGGGCAGCACCAGCCTGCACACTTGGGGTGGGGGTAGGGGGGCGGTGTGTGTGTGGGGGTAAGGCAGGTCGCACCGCCACAGGGGTGTGTGTGTAAGAGAGGGTGAGTGCATGTGTGTGTTTTTGAGAGAGAAATGGGAGGACACACAGGGGGAGCTGGCGGGGGGTGAGGGGTAAGGGGAGGGCAGGCAGGAGGGAGGCAGGAGGCAGCCACCGAGGGCTGCTCTGGGCCTTGGGAAGGACTGCGGTTAGAATCTGAGCAGTGATTTCAGAGGTGAGGGTGGTGATCGCCGTTGAGTGGAGGGAGTGGGGGGCGAAGGAGAGCTTCTGGAGGGCTGATGAGGTAAGTGTCTGAATCCGGGTGCTTAATCGCAGGGCCTGGTCACTGTGTGGAAATCACCAAGCTGTACTTGTATGACTCACGTACATGTATGCGCGTATGTGTTGGATTTTAAAACGGCTGCAAGTTCTTTGAGGTTCCTCCTATCAAGAGGGGGCAGCTCCGTCCCCTTGTCCCGATTCTGGGCGGGCTGGTGGCTGGCTTGTAGCCCACAGAGGCGGTGGGAGAGAGGGTGCAGGCGAGGTCAGAGGAGGCGGGGCAGTGGCCCATGGAAAATGTGAGGCTCCATGAGGCCACCAGATCAGGGGACAAATGCCGTTGAACAAGAGGGTTTGTCTTAGAGATTCCAAGAAGAAGGGGCACGCCACATCACAGGGGGCCCCACAGGAAGCTCTGGGTCAGCCAGGAGGCAGAGGGAGAGGGGCGGAAGCGAGGGCGAGGGCCTTTATTGTGGTTTCTGTGGAAAGGCACTGGCAAGGCGGGGCAGGCAGGTATGGGATTGGCTAGTTTGAGTAATGTCGCAGGCTCTGGGACACAGAGGCTGCTCCCGGTCTTCGGGCACCGTGGCCCTGGGCGGTTAGGATGGGGGTGGGGGAGGGCAGAGATAGTGGCCCAGAGTGTAAGAGTCCAATGAAGAGGTGGCTGAGGTATGGCTTGACCCGGTTCCTCTGCATTTGGAAGACACCCTCAAGGAACTGGCTCACCCAGGAAGGGGCAGTCCCTGCAAGGCAGCCAGCAGTCCCTCCATCAGAACACAGGAAATAAACGATGTGGTTAGTACATGGAGTGTCTGCCCGGCCACTGGGATGCTCTTTTATTGTATTTTTTTAAATATATTTTATTGATTTTTTTTACAGAGAGGAAAGGAGAGGGATGGAGTGTTAGAAACATCGATGAGAGAGAATCATTGATCAACTGCCTCTTGCACACCTCCTACTGGGGATGTGTCCACAACCCAAGTACATGCCCTTGACCAGGATCGAACCCGGGACCCTTCGGCCCTCAAGCTGACACTCTATCCACTGAGCCAAACCGGTTTCTGCTGGGACGCTTTCTTTTGGAGCCCCACGCTGCTGTGTGAGAATCTAATTCCTTCTAGGCTGCCATGCTGAGAGGAAGCCGGGCCCAGGAGCCCACACACAGGGGCCTTCGGTGACAGCCCCAGTTGAGGCTCCAGGCAGAAGCCAGCATTACCTGCCGCCCACTGTCCTGACCAACATCTGCTGTGAGCATAAAAAGTGTGTTTTAAGCTGCTACATTTCAGGGGTGATTTGTTACGCAGCCATAGGAGCTGGAACGGTGCGTTACACTTCAACAAAGAGTTTACTTAAAATGATGTGTTTTTCGTGTGCATGTTGCCTTGGCAAACTATTTTTTTTCTTTTTTAATTTTTATTTTATTAATTTCTTTATTGATTAAGGTATCACATATTTGTCCTCAAACCACTATTCCAGTCCTTCCCCCACTCACGCTCCCAGCCCCCTATTGTCCTTGACCACTGGTTAGGCTCATATGAGTGCACATAAGTCCTTTGGTTGATCTCTCCCTTTTATCCTCACCCTCCCTTTGAGGTCCAACAGTCTGACCCATGGCTCCTTATCTCTGGGCCTGTTCTTGTTCATCAGTCTATGTTGTTCATCATTTTCCCTAGATGAGTGAAATCATTTCTTACTGGAAATATACTTATAAGAATAAAAAATAAGACAAGCAATAATCTTTATGCTGAAAGGCATATGAACCAGTCTGTAGTGAGCTTCTTTCTGGACCACCAGTTCTTCTGAGATCCAATTTCAATGTCAAACAGTTCCTTATGTGTACATGTCAGCAATGATATTTCAGTTCTGGATGGTGGGCAAATGGTGGTAATGCAGGTCCGACCCTCTCTGGTTTGGTCCTGGGCAACCTGCAGTGACACACAGCTGCTGACTGCTAGTATGGCAAGGCGTTGTCAGCGTCTTCCATCTCCTGACTGCTTCTCTTCTGTCTTCATGGTTGGAGCCTTGGCAAACTATTAATTATTGCTACATAGAGTTGTCACCCACAGAGTCAGTGTCCCAGTTTACTTATTTTTGTCTCCCCTAGGACCTCTCTGACATGGCTTCCAGCACCGCCACCCTGAGCAGCATCTCCCACAATGCCAGCGTCTGCCCTCCTCACCACCCACCCCGGGCGGCCAGCGTGATGCTCTGTCTGTTCTACACGGCCCTCCTGGTCTTCAGCACCCTGGGGAACACCCTGGCCCTCTTCCTCGCCTGCCAAAGGGGCAAGAAGAGCAACTCAACCAACGTCTACTTGGTCCACCTGGCGGTGTCCGACCTCCTGTTCACCCTGGCCCTGCCTGGGAAGATCGCCTACTACGCGCTGGACTTCAGCTGGCCCTTTGGGGAGGGGCTCTGCAGGCTGACGGCGTTCATGTTCTACTTGAACACCTACGGGGGCGTCTACCTCATGACGTGCGTGAGCGTGGACCGCTACCTGGCCGTGGTCCGCGCCCACCAGCGCCCCCGGCTCCGCCGCGCCGGCCGGGCGAGGCTGGTGTGCGTGGCTGTCTGGGCCCTGGCGGTCCTGCAGACGGCGCCGCTGCTCCTGATGACCATGAGCATCCCGGTGGCGGGCAGGGTCACCTGCATGGAGTACGACAGCGTCCAGAAGGTCCTCCGGCTGTCCCCCATCCTCCTGGGGGCTTGCGTCGTGGGCTTCTGGGCGCCGGCGGGGGTCATGCTGTTTTGCTACGTGAAGATCACCCTGAAACTGTGCCGGACGGCCCGGGACAACCCTCTGACCAGCGAGCGAGGGCACCACCGGCGGGCCTGCCTGCTCACGCTGGTGGTGCTGGTCGCCGTGGTGCTGTGCTTCAGCCCCTACCACCTCAATGTCACCCAGTTCTTGGTGAGGCAGATGCTTTACCTGCCGTCCTGCCCCGAGCAGAGGGCCTTCCGGGTGTCCCTGCAGCTCACCGTGTCCCTCATGAACACCAACTGTGCCATCGACCCCCTCATCTACTTCTTCGCGTCCACACGCTACCGGGAATGGCTCCTCGGCGTCTTAAAACTCAGGGCGTCAGCATCCTCCTCCTCTTCTTCCCCAAAGAGAACTTCCTCAGAAACACAAAGTACCACCAGGCTGGAGGCCCTGCCCTCAGAGGAGAATAAAGTCTAATGGCTTTGAAACCGCACCCGGGGAGCGGTTCGGGGTGGGGGGCCTGACGTGTATGTAATGTGTGTGTGTGTGTGTGTGTGTGTGTGTGTGTGTGTGGGGTGGGGTCCCTCGTGAACATGACCTGTGCCAATGACCCCTCATTTACCTCTTTGCAACTACACGTTACGGGGAATGGCTCCTTGGCATTTTAAAACTCACGGAGCGTTCGTTAAGGTAAAAAAATATATAGCCCTGGCTGTTTTGGCTCAGTGGTTGGAGTGTTTGCCTGTGGACGGATGGGGGCTGTTGGAAACGCACATTCCTGGCTGACACTCCAGACCTCGTGAAGCACCGGGCCTGGGGGAGCGGCCCCGCGCTGGGTTTGACAAGGTTCTGGGGTGATCTGGCCGCATGCTCCCGTGTGAGAGCCCCTGGGCCTCCTTGGATGCCCGTGCCAGCGTCGGAGCTCTTGCCCATGGTATTAAGTCTGCGAGGGTTGTTGTGAGGAAGAACCATAAACTGTGTGGCTTAAAACAACAAAAACGGATTCTCTCACAGATCCAGAGGCTGAGGGTCCAACATCAACGTGTGAGCAGGGCTGGCTCCCTCAGAGGCCATGGGGAGGGGGAGAGGGCGCGTGAGGGGGAGTCTGCCCCAGGCCTCTCCCAGTGTCCGGGGTTTTGTGGCAGTCCTTAGAGTTCCTTGGCTCCTGGGTTCATCACTGGCTCTGTGTTCTCTGTGTCTCCTCCACACGGCGTTTCCGACGTTCTACAAGGCGCCAGCCATCTTGGATAGGTCCACCCTAATGCCCTCATCTTAACCTCATTAAACTTCTTTATACCTGAAAGACCCGAGTTCCACTACAGGGCATATGTGCAGGCCCTGGGGTTAGGGCTTCATCCTACATTTTGGGAGGACAAAATTCAACCAATAGCACCGGCCCGTTTCTGAGCAGCCCTCCTTCCAGACACTCTTCCTGGAGTCTCAGCCCAGCCCTGACCTCCCAGCCCCAGCCCCAGCCCCAGCCCCCACCTCCTGCCTCAGACCCCCTCCCCCCCCCCCCGCCCCCCGGAAGGCGAGGCTTGGGGGAGGGAGTGACAGGGGTCTGTGTTCAACACTAGTTGGTTAAAAACATTTAAAAAAAAGTTTAAATGTCATGGTTGTTTTTCAGATCCTTTCAAAATAGCCCCGTGCCACCTGGAGGTACTTCCCGCAAGGGCCCTGGGCAGCCCTGTGGTCAGGACTCTGCACCGAGGGCTCCCAGGCCCCCCGGGGGTGGACAGAGGCTGCCCCACCGGAGGAGTGCAGGGGGATCCTGTCATGGGGTGGAGGGTCTCATGATGGTTTCTAAGAATCTTGATCACTTGACATTTGAAGGGGGAAGAACAGAGAGTTTCGTAAGCCACGTTCGTAGATACCCAAATGTTCCTACGGCGCTCGGCTTTCTCCAGAAAGCGCACTTCCACCGAGAGTCACCACTTCTCCCGCTGCACCTCGCACCGCTGGCTAACCGCGGTCCAGCTTTCCCTGCCGCTTTCTTCCTCACTTCACCCGGGGACTGGCTGTGCAGGGACACACAGAGACTGAGACGTTCCCCTGGACTCGGCCTGGGGTGCCGGGGTCAGACCGCACGTGGGCAGCCCGGCTCTCCCGTGGCTCAGGTGCCCTTTCTGCTTCCTCCTGCTGAAACCTTTTCCTGACGCCAACAGTCCTGCCCGCCCAGGGCTCAGGCACTGTGATCCCAAGAACCCTGGCCTGCGTAGGCCCTGTCGCCTCCAGCAGCTCTGCCATGGCACAGGCAGCGGCGGTGGCTTGTAGAGGGCCACCTGAGAAGGCACATGGACATCCTTTAAATTGTCAACTGAGCCCGAGGCACTGGCAGAGACCGCGTCCCCAAGAGGGTGGAGTTGGGGTGGGGTGGGGGTAGGGGTGTTATTCAGTTTCTGACTTACCTTTGTCCAGGTGTCAGCAGGGGCAGGTCTAGATATGTAAATCCAGTAATGCTAGGGCCTAGTTAAGAATGCAAATAAGATGGCCAGAAATATTCAAGGTGATGAATAGCAAGAACCTACAGCCAAAAAATAATCTCCCCAGCAAAGCTATCACTCAGAATCAAAGGACAGATAAAGAGCTTCACAAATAAAAAAAAGCTAAAGGAGCTAATCACCGCCAAACCAGAATTATATGAATTGCTGAAGGGGTTTTTTTAGGAAGAGGAAAAAGATAAAGATAAAAATTATGATCAACAAATACGTAACTATCAACAAGTGAATCTAAAAACCAAGGGAATTAAAAAATCTGATGAACAATATTAACTGTTGAATATAATAGAATCAGAGGTATGGAAGGGGAGTGGACTGACGATTCTCGGGGAAAAGGGGAGTGGGGGTGCGGGAAGAGACTGAACAAAAACTGTGCACCTATGGATGAGGACAATGGGGGATGGGGAAAGGACAGAGAGTGGGGTGGGAACCTGGTGGAGGGGAGTAATTGAGGGGGGGAAGAGGATCACATTTGTAATAATCTGAACAATAAAGATTTATTTAAAAAAAAAAAAGAATGCAAATAAGCTCCTTTGACCCTATAAGTAAACCTGCTGTGTGGGTCGGGTGCTTACTGCCTCTCCATCAGAGAGATGGCGCCCACCTCGCGCCCAGCTTGATGAATCTATTTCTCCCTTTTGGTCTTTTCTTTCTTTCTTTCTTTAATTTCTTAATCCCCAGCTCCTCCAGGAATCTGTCGTTTTCTGTGATGGACAGGGAGAACAGAGAAACAGCCTCCGCAGTAGCTCAAGCCTGATACCTCTGTTCCCTTCGCAGGTTGTGCATGGGGTGCAATGCGCTGAGGTGGGCACACTGCAGAAATGTGGTCAACACTCACCAGCTCAATTCATAGCGTGAAGGGCTGCTGCCCCTAAAACCGGGAGGCTCAGAGGCACAGAGTTGTCTCCACACACACACACACGCACACACACACACACACACACACACACCCGCCAAGGGCTGCCTCAGCCACGGGCACCCTTTCTGCCCCAGCATCGTCACCATGGGGAGTGGTGTGTCCCTTTGTCAGCTGTAGTTCCTTTTTTTTTTTTTTTTAAAAAAAATATATTTTATTTGATTTTGTACAGAGAGGAAGAGAGAGAGATAGAGAGTTAGAAACATCGATGAGAGAGAGTCATCGACCAGCTGCCTCTTGCACACCTCCCCTACTGGGGATATGCCCGCAACCAAGGTACATGCCCTTGACCGGAATCGAACCCAGGCCCTCCAGTCCCCAAGCCGACGCTCTATCCATTGAGCCAAACCGGTTTCGGCAGCTGTAGTTCCTTAATTCCACCCCCAAAGGATTCGTTAGAGGATGCGTTGTGTCTCCCCAAAGTTTGTGTGATCCTGACCGAGTGCCTCTGAATGGGACTGTAGAGCAGTGGTTCTCAACCTTTTTAATGCCGAGACTCACCGGTTGAGAACCGCTGCCGTAAAGCCTAAGTGGTCGGCAAACCGCGGCTCTCGAGCCACATGTGGCTCTTTGGCCCCTGGAGTGTGGCTCTTCCACAAAATACCACGTGCGGGCGCGCACAGACAGTATGATTGAAACTTCATGGTCCATGGGCAGAAGTCGGTTTTCGGCTCTCGAAAGAAATTTCAATCATTGTACTGTTGATATTTGGCTTTGTTGACTAATGAGTTTGCCGACCGCTGGCCTAAGTCCATTTGAAAACACAGATATTTATAGTATGATTCATTAACAGTAGCAAAATTACAGTTATGAAGTAGCAACAAAAATAATTTTATGGTTGGGGGGTCACCACAACATGAGGAACTGTATTAAAGGGTCGTGGATTAGAAAGGTTGAGAACCACTGCTTTTAAAGAGGGTCTTTAAAAGGAGGTCCTTAGGGTGGGACTGGTATCCAGCCTCCAGCACTGCGAGGAAATAAACTTCTGTTGATTAAGTCTCTCCATCTATGGGATTTAGTGATGGCAGCCCCGGCCAACTAGCACAGTATTCTTACTCTCTCTCCCCCAATTGGATAAAATAAATGGATTCTGCTCTCTCCTTTGAAACACCACACTTCCTACAATCCGCTGAGAGAATGACAGAAGCCCAGATGGAGCGAATGTTGTCCTTCCCCCTTGTTTTCGTAGGCACCTCTGGAGTGAGCGTGGGGGGAGGCTGGAGAGTGAGCCCGCGGTGGGGTCGCCTCGGTCAGGGATCGCCCCGGGGAAGGCTGAGTGGTGGCTGGGGCTGGCAGGGCCTGCGTGTTCCTGCCGTGTCACCGCGTCACCGTGCACTCAGTACCGTTCTGCCCGGCCTTTCCCCCGGGGCCAAGGTGATGACAGATTCGGGGAGCAGCTTTCAGACCCAGACCGCCCATCTCACGGCCTAAAGAGGATTTTCCCCAGCCTGTTAGGTACTTCTGCAGAAGTCTGCTAATCTTATCTCTAGTCTCTCCACAAGCTCAGCACAGAGTTCTGCTTGTGACGGAGACCAGCGATAAGCACAGGGCTTTCCGTGGCCTCCCTGAGGTCCCCTGCTCAGGCACAGCTGTGACTCCAGCCACTAGCAGCCCATTCTGGTAAATGCAGCTGAGACAGGGAAGGAGGTGAGAGGTCAAGTACTGGAAGCACCTCCCCAAGAGGCTGAGAGCTGCCTCTCTCCTCAGTTCTACAAAGTAAGCCCAGCACAGCAATGGGGCAGCGGGGACTCCCTCCGGGTGGGGACCTCATAGCCCGTGGGCTCCAGCCCTGAGGAGGGAAGAGGGGGAGGGGGAGAGCGGGTAGTATTGGCCGAGGTGAGTCACTGGCGGTTCCAGACCCTTCTGAGAGTTGAGATTTCTTCTTGTGAGACCAGTTAGTGAGCCTGGTTTTCCATGAGTTCACGGGCCTCCCCACTATCTGTCCTGTATCTTTACCAGCTTTCTCTTCGTGCTTGGTGTGGGTGGCCTAACTTCGCTCTCCTGTTTTGCCTCTGGTTAGGGTTCATGCTCCCATCTGGTAAAATGCCTTGTTGGAGGTAGAA